GGGGTAGGGTCAGGCTAGGCTAGGTGTTGGGTGGTGGTGCCGCTTGGAAATCACGAATGTTGTTGTTGTTATCGTTGTTTCCCGGCCTCAGCCAGGTAAAAACGGGAAGGAAGGGTTGTTTTCCCCACCTCTCCCTCCTCCCCCCACCGTCTCTCCCGGTGCGTGGCGAAACATCGCCGTGTGCCCAAAATGCCTTCAATGTGTGCCACCGGGCACGGTGGCACCGGGTTACCTCGGGTTTGGTTCCACCTGCAGCGTTCCCCCAGCCAACACGTAAATCTGAGCGTGGTTTGGGGTTATTTCTGATGGTGTGGGTCCCAGGCTGCCCGCTCTCCCTGGAAAGCACTTTATTTCACACCACAATTCCTGAGCTAAAGCGGCGTTTTCGCCTTTTTAGGGTGTTATACATAACTTTTCCCAATTCGTGCTTTTACAGTATTGTTCTGTCGCAAGAGCCTGACTCGGGAATGGCAATTATCCGGGTTTGGATGGGTCCTCATCAGGAGGATGAGCTGTATGAACGTAGAGTCCCAATAAATACATCCAGGAGGAGCCCTGCTCCCTTTTTTTCTCCGTATGGAACGTTCTTAGATCTCTCTATAAAAACCCAAAGTGTTTTTCTATATTTGTCCTTGTTTACTGCTCCACCCGGTTTGGTGTCCTCTGCAAATGTCATCTGGCTCCTTTGCCTTTGCCACTCCCATCCTCTTTCAAATTGCTAATGGGAACGTTAAAATGGGACCTAAGAATGACCTGCTGGTGATGTGAGCTTACTGCCAACCCATTACTGGGCTGCTTCATCTTGTTGTTGGGTCAGTTTTCAGAGTGTGGGATGGGGTTAAATCCAGGGAGATTTGAAATGCCTTGTGGGTGACGTAAGGAACAGCACCTGAAATTCTCTGCTAAATTTAAAATCCTCGCTTGTGTTCTGAAAGGCTGCTGTAATGCAGTTTCTAACGTTTGTGACTCTTCGGTGTAGATTTCTTAGTAGTTCTGTAGTCCACAATTGCTGTTGCTGTAGATAAATATTCTGGGTTTTTTTTTACTTTAATTGGTCCCTTTGTGTTTTGACGGTAACAAATAAGTGTCTTGTACTATCAGCCATCTATTGATTTGGGGCAGCGTGAATGTTGATGAGTCCAGTAGCATTTATATTTTTTTCTTTTTCTTATACTTGGAATGAAGAACGTATTTGGATCCAAATATCTGGACTTGCTTTTTTGGATTTAGTTGCTGGGGAGTTTACGCAGAATGTTTACTTTGCTGACAGCCACTTCTTAGTTTTCTTTCTTTTGCCCTTTTCTGAGTCATAACTGACCCTCTGGATTCTTCTTTGGTTGTTTCCTA